TTCCGTGTAAGAGCTGAGTGGCATTTCTCTCCCCAGTTGTCTCTGTGTACCTTCAAGTTAGGGTCTGGACTGGGTGCCCCGGAATCAAACAGTCATTCACTCAGTGGGACTTCCTGGTGCGTGTTCAAAGAGTTGAGGACTTCTGTGCCCCACCACACTTACAGTGGCCTGTTCCCCTCTTTCTATGTGTCTTGTTTGGATCTTGGATTTCTGTTAAATAAATGTTCACTTAAACTTATAGTATGTAGGGGCCAGCACTGTGACCTGAAGCGCAGGCATCCCATATGGGCACCGGTTCGAGTCCTGGCTGCTCCACTTCTCTGCTATGGCCTGGAAAAGGGGTGACCTGGAGGAAGCTCCTGGCTCCTGGCTCCTGGCTTCAGATCGGCCCAGCTCTGGCCATTGCGGCCAGTTGGGGAGTGAACCACTGTTTGGAAGACCTCTCTCTCTCTCTCTTTCTCTCTCTCTCTCTGCCTCTCCTCTCTCTCTGTGTAACTCTGACTTTCAAATAAATAAATAAATCTTTTAAAAAAAACTTCGCAATATGTAAATATGACATTCATTGTCCTAAATGAACTTTCAATATGCTAAAGGTGAGAGGCCCTGCAGGACAATAGGGACTCCCTCCCCCACTGATTCACTTGGACACTATCAGCAGGGTATCTACCAGGCACTGGGCAACACTGTGGGCAGGGGGGGCCCGGTCTTTGCTGCTTGCAGGGTCACTCCTCGCCACCATCATCACAAGCTCACTTGTCCACACCACCAACATTTTCCTGGGCTCATTGGATAATCCAGTGCTGTCATCCTAACTGCTTGGCCTGCTTCCACTGTGCTCCCCTGTACTGAGCTCTCAATGGTGTCCACGGAGATCCCATTAAAACCTAAGCCTGGTGCTCAATGGATGAATGAACGCATGAATTACTTATTAATCCATAAATGGAGTTGACATTCCAATGAGGGAAACAGGAAGAAACAAGTAAGTAAACTAATAAAATAGTGATGGGATGAACCGTGGCTGGGGCAGAGAGTGGGGTGAGGGTGGGATGGTGAATCCTCTGTCATCTTCCTACGGCTTCCAGAACCCAAACCACAGCCTGCGTGGTGGCCTCCGATGCCCTGCATGACCTCCTGCTCTACTGCACTGACTCCCTCTGCTGCCACCCTCCCTGCCCTGCCGTGCTGTGGGTGTGGTTTAGGCGCACCTCCTGCGTTGGAGGCTTGGTCCTGGCAGTGGTACCCAGGGATGGTGGAGCCTTTAGAAGATGGAGCCCAGGGCGGGCTCGCTGATCTCCCGGGGTGAGTCGTCTCCAGGGCCAGTTGTTGCCGAAGCCTGAGCCGGCGGTGGACCTTGTGCCTGAATCCTGTATTGGAGCGCTGGTTTGAGTCTTGGCTGTTCGGTGTCCAGGTGGAACTCCCTCTTAACGTGCACTGCGGGAAGCAGCAGAGATAGCCCAAGTACTCGGACCCCTGCCACCCACCGTCCCTGGAGAGAGACCAGGATGGCTTCCAGGCTCCGGCGTCAGCCTGGCCTAGCCCTGGCTGTTGCAGGCATTTGGGGAGTGAAGCAGCACGTGGAAGACCTTATCTACCCATTCTCTCTCTCTCTCTCTCTCTCTCAAAATAAATAAATAAATAAATAAATAAATAAAATAAATCCTAAACAAGTACATTTGTGAAAGCCTGACCCTGACCCCTGGCCCTGGCTTCCTGTTCTGAGATGTGACTCCTCCCACACACACTCCCACCATGATGTGATGCAGTCAAGCGGGCCCGCACCAGAGCCCAGCCAATGCGGACACCATGCCCTGAGCCTACAATCATGTGAGTTAAATAAACCTCTTTGCTCCCTCAGGGTAGCCTGCTCCAGACCCCCAGCACAGTAAGTAAGGCAAAGAAGCTAACACAGCGTCCCAGCCCCTCGCCACCCCCTGCCAGCCCTTGCTGATCCCCCTTTCAGAATGTTCTCCCCCTGGACATTTGCACCCTGTACCTACTCCCTGTCTTCCGCTCTCTGCTCAGAGGTCCCCCTTTCAGAGCGCTCTTCTTCCTCTCCACGTCACAGAAAGAGCAGCCTCTGACCCCTGGAGGTCCCTGTCCCTCCCTGGCTTTATTTTCATCCCTACACCTGCCACTCTTAGATGGATGACAGTAACTTCTTCGCTGTCTGCGTCCCTTGCAGAGGTAGAAATTCAAGGAGGGAAGGGATTGTGTTTGGCTCAGTTCATCCTTGGGCTGCTGTCGCCTCAGTGGGTGCCAAAGCGCCACAGGGGCCGCCTCCCTGTCACTCCCAAGATGAAGCAAGGCAAGGACTGGGCTGGGGCCATCCTGGGAATAAGGCAAGGCCTTTGAAACAAGCAGAAATGCCCAGGTGGGAGTCGGGTTGCTCACCTCCAGGTCCACAATTGCCCATGGCATGGCCGGCCGGACTCTGCCCATCACAGCCCCGGGGCAGCACCCTGATCCTCCGCGCTACCTGTTCCTTATGGTGACCTTGAGTGCTGGGCATGCACGTCTCACAGTCTTTTTTTTTTTTTTAAAGTCAGAGCTACAGAGAGAGAGAGAGAGAGAGAGAGAGAGAGAGAGAGGTCTTCCATCTGATGGTTCACTCCCCAGTTGGCTGCAATGGCTGGAGCTGCGTCGATCCAAAACCAGGAGCCAGGAGCTTTCTCTAGGTCTCCCACATGGGTACAGGGGCCCAAGGACTTAGGCCATCTTCCACTGCTTCCCAGGCCACAGCATAGAGCCGGATCGGAAGTGGAGCAGCCAGGACTCGAACCAGCATCCATATGGGATGCCGGCGCTTCAGGCCAGGGCGTTAACCTGCTGTACCACAGCACCGGCCCATCTCACATCCTTGAACAGACAGCGAGGGCCCCAGAGCTCCAGTGGCTGCCCCAACGCTGCACACACACAGAGTCGCCCTGGGTCCCACTGTAGCACTTTTTGCACTGGTTTGTGCTTTTCTCCTGTCTGGGCTGTGACCGGCTGACCTTGAATCGTAAGGATTCAGTCTGGAGCTCCTGAAAGGCCGTCCCCTTCTTTCCTCTAGAGAGAGCAGGAGCCGAGAGGTACAGGTGGGGAACACACCCCTCCATTCCAGAACCTTCTCTGTGGTTTTCAGCCACTCGTGTTGGAGCTTCAGGAGGTGGGGGGACAATGGCCTTGGGCCGCCCTGTCCCCAGACCACCCCGAGGCAGGAGCGAGGAAAGCCTTCAAAACACGACTCAGGATGGGCATCTGTTTTCGGTTGAAAACCAGAAAGAAATCCCAGCTCCGAGGCTCTGCTTTGGTTGAAAAATCAAGTCGGGTGACAGTGGAAACTGTGTGCCACTGTTCTCCGCTCTCTGCCATGTTGACAGAGAGAGAGTGCTAATTCTGGCTGGGGTTTTTCCCTGCCCTGGCTGTTTTTCTCTTTTATCTTCATCAATTGAAGAGAGCCGCTCCGCCTCTCAACTGTCGGAAGGTATCTTGGGTTTGCTGTATTTTTTTTTCTTTCACATAATTCTGCGGGTCTTTTCCCAGAGATGTATTTTTTTCTCAAGTTCACTTCTAACTTGAAGTTTCCGCCCATGTGACTTCCAGCGTCAATCACCAGAAACCACAAGAGAGAGCGCGCGCCAGCCCCAAAGCGAGCGACATGTCCCAGTGGGGAGCAGTCCCTCCGCACCCCAGAGCAGGACGCACGCACGCAGGGGTCGGTGGCGGCACCCGTGGAGACCGGAGGGCTGGCGGAGGCCAGCTGGTGACGAGAGAGCCCGGAGGCGCGTGGGGCTGTGTGCGAGAGCCGGAAGAGTCCAGCCATGCCTCACAGCTCTGACAGTAGTGACTCCAGCTTCAGCCGCTCTCCTCCGCCTGGCAAGCAGGTAGCTGTCTTCTTCCTCTCTCTGCTGCCTTCTGCCTCTCCCCGGGGTGGGCCAGGGGAGCAGGCCCCCTGGCTGTGTGCGGGGAGCCGAGGGAGTGATGCGTGGCGTGAGCACTGAGAGTCTTAGACATGACCTTTGCAATTACACTCTGAGTCCAGGGGTGGGGGTTGGGGACCCTCCTTTTCCTGCGTGTTCTACCCAAGCCCCTTGAACTCTCTCCTTTCCCCGGGGTGGGGTGTGGGGGGGTTCCCACTGCCTCTGCCTCAGTGCGATTCCTGCCCCATGCAACTTTCTAAGAAGCCAAGAGGGGCATGGACTTCAAAAGGGTCTCTGCTCTCTAAGGCAGAGGCTCCCAGGGGCTGCCATGCCCAGCCTAAATCCTGCTACTGTTCCCAGGACAGCACCCTAGGGTGAGAAAGGAGGCCAGGGACAAGTGAATCCCCAAGACAGCAGGTTGGAAAGTTAGAGGGATGAGGACCCCAGGCACTGCCCCTGTTGCCGAACCTGCCACTAGCGAGGGATGCTGGGGCCACCACTAAAAAACTTGGGTCCCCTGTGGCCTCAGGACGGAGGGAGTTAACTAATGAAGGGGCGGCTCTGGGGGAACTGGGTGACTGGGGTACTTACACTGGGAGCACTGGGCGCCCAGCTTGTGATGCCCGGATCAGACTCTGTCCACGGGAGCATCTCCCCTAAATGTAAGCCCCCTGCCCCTCTCCCAGCTCCTGGGGCTTTCTCCACCACTGCACTCCTGGCATCGCTCCCTAGAAGAGATCCCCGCTCTTTCCTGCCTTCCCGAGACTCACTGTTTGCAAATCAGGGGGTTAAAGTCTTCTCCACATTCGTGGTGTAAAAACTGCACGCTTGGCACAGATATCCAGGCGAGCTTCCGAAATGCTGCAGGAATGAGCTCTACTCCGGCAGCGACCAGGTGGGACGGAGTTCCGCGGCAGCCCTGCAGAGGGCGACCCCTCTGGCCCTCGGCTTGAGATACTATCGGAGCGGCTCAGGCTGCCTGGAAGTCTGCACTGGCCCCTTCTTCGGAAGGAAATTACTCACGGCTTCCATGGTAACCCGGCTCCCCATCCCCCGTAGAGGAAGACCGCTTCCTCCCTATCTGCCCCAGTGCCCTGTTCCCGCAGCGGCCTCCACGTCCTGGACTCGCTGGGGCTTCACATGCCCGGTCCGGGTATCGGTGCCCCTGCAGCCTGAGGGATGCGAGCAGGCACAGGGCAGGAGTCTCCACACGGGGGGAGGCGGGAGCTGCCCTCTCTGGCCAAGCCTAGGAGGCAGCAGCCAATGGGATGCAATTAGAGGGCCTGCCAAGACCCCACGCCGTCCCCCTGAGCACCCATGCACTGCCCACCACAGCCATGGAGCCGCCACCCTTAAGTTCTCTTCTCAGCATCTCGTCTGGACCAAGCATTGTGCTCGTATTGGCTGAACTCAACGAAGTGCCGCGGGGAAACAGGAGACAGAGCAGGGCCAGGGCCCTCAGCTCAGAGGTGCAGCTGCAGGCTCCACGGAGTGCAAACAGTGGGTCCTGGGAAGGCAGGAAGAGACCTCCGTTTCCCCACGTGTAAGATGGAAACAACGCCATGGATGTCCCAGAACCGGGACTTCCTCCCAGAACGCGCTTGCACAGAGGTGGGCGCAGAGGAAGCGCTCAAAAAGTTAACAGCAAAAAGGTTCTGGGTGATGAAGCAGGAGAGTGGTGGCGCAGAGAGGTGATAAAACACGCTGCACCGTCCTCACTGTTTTTGCCAAGTGCGGTCCTAGGGAGGCCTTGTGGACAAAACAAGCCCTAGGGCCCCAAGGCTACCTGGGACAGGGGGAGAGCTCTCCTGGTAGAGCTGGGGAGGAGGGGGTGCAGATTTGGGGATGGAGTCGCATGAAGAGGTGGAGACCAGGGAGGGCGGATGGCTGGAGAGGAGCAGGCTTGCCTGATGCCCGCTGTCTGCCTCCCAGGACTCCTCCGATGATGTGAGAAAAGTTCAGAGAAGGGAGAAAAACCGCATCGCTGCCCAGAAGAGCCGGCAGCGGCAGACGCAGAAAGCCGACACCCTGCACTTGGTGAGCCCTCTGTTCTTGGTCTTGGCCTTCGCTCCCCGCACTCACCCCTCCCCCTAAGTGAGGACCTCAGCTTTGATTCTGCCTGAGTGAGGATGTGTCGGGGGGGGGGGGCAAGTAGAGCGGGAGGCCGTGGGGTGAGGTTGGAGGGGGCAGTCTCTGAGGAGCATACAGGGGAGATTCTGTAGCAGGGAACGGGCCAGGAGGCTGTACAGTAGGGGAATGAGATTTTCTACCCCAAAAAGGGCTCTGCGGGCAGGTGAGTTGGCTGTGGGAAGCCCCCAGAGGCCACCTGCTTGGGGAGGGGTGGACGAGGGGGCGCTGTCCTTCATCAGCCATGGAGAACAGGGGCGTGGGGAGCTGTGGGGATCACACGCAACCCCGCCTCTTGGGAGCCACTCAGATGTCCCTGCCTTGGGGCCCCGGAGGGCCCCAGGTGCTGCACCTTGCTCCTCGTTTCTGGGCCTCGTTCAAGTTTTATTTGGAAACCTCTATCTTTCATGATATCCCATTGCTCTTATCTGAGCTGCTCACCATCCTGGCTGAGTTTCCTGACTCTGTTTCCTCCTTGCCTGCGCACCTCACCACCCTCCTGGCCTCGCTCGGCCCGGGGTCGGTTCTCATTCCACCAGCTCTCGGCACTGCTTTCCTTTTTCTTCCATCCGCTCATCTCGTGCTCTCGCAATCCTACCTCGAAGTCCTTCCTCCCGAAATACTCCCATGGCTCTCGACCCTAGCAATCGCTTTCAAGGGCGAAAAATATGATTGGCATCATAAGCGAACAGGCTTGGATTTAACAGGGTGAGTAGCACAGCCGTCAGCAGTTAGAACTGTTGTAACCTTCTCAAGGAAAGATGCGAGTGTTGGTGAAAACGTTCATGGCGAATGGAATTAAATGATGCGTGTATTTTGGTGCAAAATAGTTCTTTCATAATAAAAATTTCCATGAACTTTTGGAAGACCTCGCAGAAGGACTTTTGTGGGTGCAGGAGGATGGTGGAGGATGCTTCTTTGAGCTTTGAAAGGATGTAGGGAGCAGGCTGCACCGGCCTCTCTGATGAGGTCCTTGTGGCTCGGTTGAGATCTGCGCAGTATTTCCTCTATTGCACACTAACATAGTTGGCCGTTCACAAGTAGTTGCTGAATTGAAAAACAGAATGAACGATCAGCAAGTCTGTACTGATTGCGAACAACGGCTCAGGTGTTCCGGCGTTGGCAGCCCTGCTGTGCACGTGCTGTCTGGAAGTTCACGGGCGCCAGGAGCTCGCACGCACTGGCTCACCCTCTTAGGCTTGAACAGCTCTGACCTCTAATTTGGTCTTTATCAGAGTTTGGTTCTGATTCGATATTCCTGCAGGAAAGCCTACAAGTAAAGATGACAAGGGATACAGAGAATCGTCCTTTTCGAGCAAGTAGCCAACGTCCTGGGACTGGAGAGCTGTTAGAAGCTTTACACGTTTGTGATTTTGGTTTTCAGTGGGAGCTAAGCGCAGGCTGGCAGCTGTGGGTCAGGACAGGGTTTGAATCACGGCTCCGCTGCTGGCTGACCGTGGGTCTGAACTCGGAGATTCTTGGTCCCTTCTCAGTCTCTGGCCCCTTAGCTACAAGATGAAAAAAAAAAAAAGAGCTCAACACAGTGCCTGGCATACAGCACACACTGACAAAAATCAAGTATAATAGGGGTAGGAGAGTTTGGACATCCCTAATCGGAAAATGCAAGAATCTGAAATGCTGCTAAATCCAAAGCTTTTGGAGTGCTGACATGACACTGCAAGTGGAAAGTTCCACAGCTCACCTCATGTGATAGGTCTCGGTCAAAATGCAGGTGCACTAGAAATCTTGTGTGAAATTATCATTCAGGCTGTGTGCATAAAGTGTATATGAAACACAAACGAATTTCGCGTTCAGGCTTGGGTCTCATTACCAAGGTAGCTCATTATGCAAATATTCTAAAATCCCCCCCCCCCAAATCTGCATTCTGAAACACTTCTGATCCCAAGCATCTCACATTAGTAATACTCAATCTGTAATAATAACGGTCGTTGTAAGAAGCAGGATAAGTAATCACTATTAAGATAGTACAAGAACATACACACATACATCTACTTAATCATGGAAGCTTGGCGTTGAAAGATTTCTTAAAGACTAGAAATTTTAGAGGCACCTTGGCTGCCTGAGACCCCCCGCAAATAGTCCCCAGTGAATGCCTCCTGGGAGGCAGCAGATGATGGCCCACGTGCGTGGACCCCTGCTGTCTATGTGGGAGGCCGGATGGAGGTCTGGACTCCCAGCTCCAGCCTGAACCAGCCCTGGCCATTGCCAGCACTGGAAGAGTGAACCAGCAGATGGCAGATCTTCCTCTCGTCTGTCTGTCTGTCTCTCCTTCTCTCACTCTGTCTTTCAAGCAGATGAAAACGAGCAGCATTTTACAATGCATATAAAACTCTGAAACCATAAGGGAAAGATGATTACATTTATACATGAAAATTGAAAATGTCTGTCTGGCTCAAAAAACTTATATGCAAAATCAAAGGCAAATGGCAAATGGGGAAAAAATATCTGTCACACATGCGGTACAAAAAATAAAGCCATGGTTCCTTAACACATGAAAGCTCTTCTGACCAGGAAACTGACTAACAACACAAAAGAAAAATGAGAAATCACGAGTGGGCTGTGTGCAGAAGGAGAAAGGTGAACAGCAGAGAAACCCGTGAGAAGAGGCTAGACCTCGCTCGGTTAGGAAAATGCTAATGGAAGCAACAGATTGGCAAAGAGGAAAGGTGTCGCTAACGCACCTGTTTGCCGAGGCCAAGGAGCAGCAGGGGCCGGCAGCCGCTGTCAGGACAGGAGGAAGGCAGACAGGCCAGCCCCGTTAGAGGGCAGCTGGCTGCATCCACCCAGACTGTCAGCGCACGGAGCCTGCGACTCAGCAGTTTGACATCTGGGAGTTTACTCGCAAACGTGCACACAGACAATGACATCCTGACCGTGTAAAGACAACGGTTGCTTCGTTGTTTCTTGCGGCCCGGGCTGGAGACAGCTCAGCATCCTTCGGCAAGAGAGTGATTAAATAAGATGTGGTTCATGCAGTCAGGGGCATGCTGGGTAGCTATTACAGCAAGCCGCGGCATCTGAAGGAGTTACCGCTTAGAATTCTGTAATTCGAAGTGAAAAAAGGTTTGAAAATGGTACCTAGTTTGCTCCCACTTGTGTGTGTGGGTTTTTTTTTGGACAGGCAGAGTGGACAGTGAGAGAGAGAGAGAGACAGAGAGAAAGTTCTTCCTTTTCCGTTGGTTCACCACCCAAATGGCCGCCATGGCTGGCGCACTGCAAGCCAGGTGCTTCTCCTGGTCTCCCATGCAGGTGCAGGGCCCACGAACTTGGGCCATCCTCCACTGCACTCCTGGGCCACAGCAGAGAGCTGGACTTGAAGAGGGGCAACCAGGACAGAATCCGGTGCCCCAACTGGGACTAGAACCTGGGGTGCCGGCGCCGCAGGCAGAGGATTAGCCTAGTGAGCCATGGCGCCGACAACCCACTTGTGTTCTTAATAAGAGAAAGGTACTTCTATGTGCACAACTATATAAACTTGAAAATGTTCGAGTGCATTATCAAAATGTGATAATTATATTTGTTTCTGAAGTGTAGAACTAAAGAAACAAGAGGGAGGTGCTTTGCATTTTTATCTTTTTATTTAGCTTGGATTTAGATAGACAGACAGACAGACAGACCTTCGATATGCTGGTCACTCCCTAACTGGCACAACAGCCAGGGCAGGACCAGGGCGGGACCACAGCTGGGAACTCTGGGTTTCCACCTTGTGGGGTAGAGACCCATGTACCTGAGCCCTCACCTGCTGCCTCCCAGGATGCACATTAGCAGGTGCTCCGATACAGCACGTGAGCGCCCCGAGCAGTGTCTGCACTGCTGTGAACAGCCCACCCTCTGTGCTTTCCTTCTTATCAAATACCAAACCTGCACTGCCGAGCACCCTGCACTTGCATTAGATGTTTTCCCTCCTGATCTTGATGTCACCCACGGAGCAATCCTCCATCGTGACATTTGACGCCGGGAACATCCTCAGTACACGCCTGGTGCCTAGAGGAGAAGCAGCTGTCAGCTGGGATTTGGTGACCCTCCCAGCCATCAACAGAAGGAGCTCCCCGAAAGGGCAGCAAAGCGGTCCTCCCAGAGCAGCCGTCCTGGTGGACGGTGTGGGTCTCTGGTGCTGACCAGCAGCAGGAAGGACTTTGAGTCCACGGGCCAGGGTGAGCAGAAAGAGGGTCGGGGTCCAGAAACTTCATTCATGAGGAGACTCAAGGTTGGGGAGATGGTGGAGTGGGGCAGACAGCAGTGTTAGCTCGGAGCCGTGCTGAGCGTCCATGGTCGGGGAGCCAGTGAGGGTAACAGGGTCAAGTTTGAGGGCTGCAGGCTTAGGCACTCCCTTAGGTGGCAGCGGGCCAGGGGCTTGCTTGGGACCGGCTCCTGGAGGAGCCTCCCACCAGTTTAAGAAGAGAAAGGGCCTTATAGGTTCCAGGGTGTATGCTTAATGTCCTTTATGAAGCATAGATCATGCCTTAGGGGGAGTTTTGAGCTGGTGCGGTGAGAGATAAAGGATGTACAATGGGAGAAAAACCGGGTAATGGAAGGAAAGAAGCCCAGCAAAGGTCTGCCCCCCCAGGCCTCCTTACACCCGCACTGTTGCTCTGGGCGGCCAGGCAGGGCTGCGGAGGGGCAGTCCGCGGTCCGGCTTCACGCTGGGCTTCTCTCTCTTGGAGACCATGCCATGTTTATGGGCACAGGGAAGTCATAGATCAATAACAAATAAAAGGAACATTCTGGCTAGTTCCAGCCTAAGATGGGTCGATGTGGAGCCAGTGAGCCATCTTTGGAAAGGAGAAGCATCTCTGCCTCTCCATCGCTATGAATTTCTTTTTAAATGTGTGTTAATCGTACGCATGACTTTGCGCATATCCGTTAAGTGCTCTGCCTGCAGTATCTCATTTCACCCGCACAGAGATCTTACTGTACAACCCGTGGATTAGGTGGAGCAACTTGTTCGAAGTTGCAGAGCTTGTAACTACACCCATCTGATTCAGAACCCATCTTCCTAATCACTAAGCTATCTCGCCGCCTTCTCCACCACCCCCCCAACCTTTATCTTCCTTGAACTCCTTCCTCAATATGTTTTTCTGCTTTTTTAAGCAACATTTTCTAAAATATACGCTTTTCCCCAACCATTGTTAGGTCTGGCCAAGAAAGTGAAGGCATCTATAAAAATATGATTTGAAGTTTTTTTTTTTTTTTTTGAGAAGGTCTTGTAGCAATATTTAACATCTTACATGGGGATAACCCCGACATGGCAGTTCCACCTGCAGGCTTTGAAGGAAGAAGGATGCACACGATGCTCTAGGCATCGTTACCGTGAGCACTGAGCCCTTCCTCGGAGCTGTAATCCTTGGCTTGGCTAACAATAGGATTAAGTGCATTAGGATACTTTTATACAGTAGAACTGTACACTGGCACTTAAACTGACTGTTGTAGATCTGTATTTAGCAAAGTGGAAAGATGTCAGTGATGCAGGATTAAGGAGGAAAAACAAATTACAAAGAGTAGGCAGAAGCTAACCCCATTCCCGGAACAGGTTTAGGCTTTGGGCTTGGTGGCAGCTCAAAGGGATGTCTGAAAACAAATTCTCTAAAATTCTAATAGTAGTTATTTCTTGGTTGAGTTTGGCTACTTTATCTTATTCCTTGTACTTTTCTGTATTAGTTTACTGTGATGAATATGTGCCATTTAAAAATCAAAGTAGTCTCTAACTGTCTAAAACATTAGGTGATTTGCATTTGGGGACAAAAAGCATGCCAAGACAATTGATCACCCGAACCTGGTTCCACTGATGCTGGCTGGGCATGGCTGAGTCTGTGAGGCACACTTGAAGGGACAGCTCTGGACACGAGAAAGAATGTCTGTCTAGGGGAGGGTGATGGATGTAGTAGTGAAAGATCACCAGGATGTCCACGTGCAGACCAGAGTGCCTGGGTTCAAGTCCTGGCTCCACTTGTGATTCCAGCTTTCTGTTAAGGCACACTCCTGTGGGACAGCAGGTGAGGGCTGGAGTACTTGGATCCTTGCCACCCAGCTAGGAGACCTGGATGGGGCTCCAGGCTCCTGGTGTCAGCCTGGCTTGTTGCAGACATTTGGGGAGTGAACTAATGGATGGAAGATCTCTCTCTCTCTCTCTCTCTCTCTCTCTCTTTCTCTCTCTCTCTGCTCTCTGTATATGTGTGTGTGTGTCTGTGTCTCTGTCACTGTCCTTGTCTCTTTGTCTCTCTTCCTTTCAAATAAATAAAACAAATAAATAAATGTTAGTTTAATTTTTTTTTTAAAAAGTGCCTGTCTACAAGGGATTGCAGCTCCCAGGTCCCAGAGTGGCAGCTGCCCCTGGGCAGATGTCTTCACGAGGCTGGCTGGCTCAGTAGCTGCTAGATCCCTTCCTCTCGAGAAATGTGAGAAAGTCTGGCAGGGGAGCCCCTGCTCAGGCTGCACGACGTCCCCAGTCCTCTGTAGAAGCCAACCAGGCCCCTGCTTCCTGGAGTGA